ATAATTTGTTTATATATTGAAAATTGTTATATTTATCAATTGAATTTGATTAAAGAAAAAAACTTAAATTATGACTAATTTTTTTAGATACTTAAGATTCTTTTAATATGCAGATTTTACATGAAGATTTTATATGATAATACCCCATACATGTAAGCTTGGGCGCGCATTGCGCGCCGTATACGCTAGTACATTTTAAAAATCCATCAAGTAGATCCATGATTCCACATCAAACCCTTCGGATTGATCCCAAGAAACTCTTCTTCTCACCCTTCAAATCCACAAAGACGAGAAATTTACTTTAATCATTTATTTTATTTATTTTATATTTATTTATTTCATTGAATCATTTTTTAATTCAATTTACTTAACTGGATTTTTATTTTATTTTATACTTCTTTTGCACACACTAAGATATTTTTAGTTTTTAATTTTTAAATATTTTTTTTATTTTTTCATAACATTTTTCTGTTTTTCTTTTTATTTTATTATTTTAGCCACTGGTTTGTGATAAATCCTGTCATAGGGAGTCCACCCCTAAGTGACAGTTAATAAATAATAATAAATAATAATAATAATTCAATTTACTTTATGAATTCATTAATATTTTAATAATCGATAAAGTTATTCAAGAAGTTTTAATTCAATTCCTCCATCTTTCCAGAAACTTTTTCTCATCTCCAATCGATTTCTGGTAAAAGCACGAGTTTAAACAAATTAATTATTATTTTAAAAGTATTATATTGACCCTGAGAAATTGTTTGTAAAAGATTGTAAAGTCAAACAATTTTAATTTAACAAACTTCTACTTTCCTCCATTTTATTTTTCTAAAAGGATTTATAATAAAATTATGACTTGAAAAATTGATGTTTAAATATTATAAATATAATATAATAAGAGATGTGGAATTATTAAAGACAATATTTTTGTTTTTCGGTCTAAAATAAATCCCTGAAGTATTTACCAATTGTTAACTTTTTTTTAACTTTTCTATGACATTTATATTATTTTTGTACGAGGAAAGTCAGAAAATTTTCGGTCACACAGAAAATCACTTGAATGGTTTGAACTACTTCTTCCCTACTGTTTTCTAATCTGATTACCCATTAAAGGGGGTGTGCATCCAGTCAATAACTCGGTTATCATCTTTGTGCAGAAGACAACCTCTCCTTTGCCCTCTAATTGGATAATGATTGATTAATCCATCAGAATAGAATTTTCTTTTTTAATTTTCCTATTTTTTCCTTTAAAAAAAATGCAGTGTAACATTTCTCACTACAATATTTCCTAACAAGTGCGAAAAACTGACTTTCGGCGTCAGTGAGCTTTATAACACGAGCAATTAATTAAGTATTAATCAACAGAGGTATTAATAAAGCGTTCTCCATTTTTATTAATGTCTCTGTTAATTAAATTACAATGTTTACACTGATTTAATAATTATCTGATTGTTGAGTGTTTCTAACACCTGATTAATGCGTTAATTAAATCAACGGATAGTTTAGGGGATAATTAACTGGTACTGCTGAGGAAACTATAGATTCAATCTTATGGAAACTCTAGGTTCGATTTTTATCGGAGAAAAATTGTTGTAATGGATTAATTTATATTGACAGCGTATGAACCACCGAAACCTGGTACCACTGGGTTGGCTGCTCAGTACCAGGAGAACAGAGTGCCCTGTTCATATGGAAATCCACCACCTGCTGGAAAAGCCTGCATAGTCGAACTCGAGAAATTTTCACCGTGCCTCAAGCAAAATAAATACATGTATGATAAATCTCAGCCTTGTATCTTCTTGAAGCTCAATAAGGTAATTATTATTTTTTGGATATTTCACAAGAAATTTTACGGTTTCATTTGAATGTATAACAGTACGTCAGGAATTATATACTTGGGAAGTACATAGTCATAATTATTGAATAATACTGATATTAATTTATAAGTAGTTTTTATTTTAAACCGCGTAAATTTTGAATTTTTTTTTATTTTTAAATTATTGAATAATACTAATATTATTTTATAAGTAGTTTTTATTTTAAACCGCGTAAATTTGAAATTAAATTTATTAAATTTTAAATTTTATTTCATTTTATTTTTCAATTATTGAATAATACTAATATTAATTTATAAGTAGTTTTTATTTTAAACCGCGTAAATTTGAAATTAAATTTATTAAATTTTAAATTTTATTTTATTTTATTTTTAAATTATTGAATAATACTAATATTATTTTGTGAGTACTTTTTATTTTAAACCGCTCGGTGAAGAATTGAAGTGAAAATTGGAAACAAAATGAAACGCGGAGGAAAAATTATGATTTTTTTCAGGATTTTTTTGCCTGCGCCGATCAAATGTCATTTTTAAACCGTAACCGATATTTTTTTAATAATGATTCGAAAAGTAACTATTGAATTTTATGTAATTGTTACATAAAAGATTCGATTCGAGTGCATTAATAAATCCTATACATAAAAAAAAAATAAAAATTCGCAATTAGAAATTTCAAATATCGGACAAAAATTTGATTATAAAAATATCAATTCTCTGAATTCCTAATAATAAAAAAAAATTGAAATAAAATAAAAATAACATAAAAAATGAATAAAAAATTTAAAAAAAATAATAAAAAATAATTTAAATTTTTCCGAAATTATACCGCGATGCCATTCAATTAAATTCCATTAGATTGAATTATAATCAATTCGACGATTGACCTACTTCCGATAAATAATGAAAAGTCTCATGATATTGACCCCAAAATTGGAATATATTTTCAGATTTTCGGTTGGCAACCGGAATTTTTCAACGACACAGAGAACCTCCCGGATAATATGCCCCAGGACCTGCAGAATCGCATAAAAACAGCAAAAATGCGAAATCCTAAGGAACTGGAGACGATTTGGGTATCATGCGAGGGTGAAAATCCTGCTGACGTTGAAAATATCGGCCCTATCCAGTATAAACCTAGTTCGGGATTCCCAGGTTACTATTTCCCATACACAAACAGTCCGGGTTATCTCAGCCCGTTAGTGGCTGTCTGGTTTGAAGCGCCAAAGCGTAAGTACCTCCACCAATTAATTCTCCAACTGATAACCCTTCGACCCAAAATTTACATTTTTCCTTCCAAAAACGGAAGCATTAGCGAAGCCAAGTGGTTAACTACAACAAGTGCATTTTTTCCGCCAGTTTTTAGTGAATATCCCGGAATTGAAGAAACATACCGAATTTTTCGTTCAAACATTTTTTATAGAGAAAGATGAGAGCTGCAAAAAAGGTTTCTATCAAAATATCGCTATCTTCATTCAATTCCGAGGAATTGACTAAAAACTGGTTACGAAAAAAAGCACTTATTCTAGTTTACCTCTTCACAAGAGAATTTCAATCTTCTAAATGCATCAGATTAACTCTTAAAAGATTAGAGTTAACCTTTTTAAATAGTTGGAGTTAAGTCCTTTAACTATCAAATTAATTAAGATATTCGGCGTCTTCAAATGAGACTTTCAAGTCTTGTATTAATTTTTTGAAGAACTTGAAACGAAATTTTGGAAAGTTTCCTTCTTGACATTTCATATTTAAACCCAATACCATTCACTTGATATGATCAATTTATTTATCTCACCAACAATATAGATATCAATATAAATAAATAAAATAATACAATATAATTTGTCTCTCCAACAGGCAATGTTCTTATCAATATCGAGTGCAAAGCGTGGGCCAAAAACATTATCCACGACCGTTTCGAGAGGCGTGGATCAGTTCACTTCGAGTTGATGGTGGATTAAAAAGTTTTCCATAAAAAAAAATGAATCATCAATGACGAATGACCATAAAACTACACCCCCATTAAACAAAATAAAAAAAAATTAAAAAATGAAATCTAAAAACTCATAACAGCAATTACCAAAAAAATAAAAAAATATCCCAAACTCATCGATAAATACGATTCGAACTCGTACTAATCACTTGATCCTGATGAGAAATACTAATTAATGATAAAGTGTCGGGAAAATCGTACCACCTTTCCCCATTCGAGTGATAAAAAATGATTGTACCTCTACATATTATGGCACAATTCATTACACCATCTTATGGTATAATTAATTACCGCTCGTTTTATTACAGCAAAAAATCATCGACTCATTTAATCACACGAAAAACAATAACATTAACCCACCAGAAATTACATACTCAACAATGAAAAATAAACAAAACAAAAACAAAAGATTTAAATTGGCAAAAGGAACTGCGAAGATTAAAAAAAAATGGAGAGATACGTGATATAAATAAAAATATTGCGTTGTAATAAATTAGTTATGTGATAAGTAATGCTGTAATGAATTGTCCGTGTAATAAAATTTTGTAATAAAATGTAACGTAATGAGATGTGACCGTAATGAGTAGAGGTGATACCATAAGAAATTGATCATAGATCATTGATCACTATTATTATCGTTGTTCACTGCCGATCTCAATGTTCTTCTTCGTCGACAATTTCAGATGCCTCCTTACCATCCTAAAATGATAATAAATTAAAATAATAAGTATCAGAGAGCACAAAAAATCATTGGAGTAAAGGAGATAATTCGGGAGTGAAAGGATAAATCGAGAGTTATTTGATAATTGTACGATTGGTGTATTGATCTCTCGAGGTATTTCCAGTTAGTTAAATATTTGAAGATCTTTCGATCTTATCAATTCACTTTGGAATGTTAAATACTCACCATTTCACTTCAAGCACAAAAATAATGTCGACGCAGAGGAGTGAAATCTAGCAGTTTTTGGAATGGTGGTGTGATTTTTTTTTCATGATGATGGATACATTTTTTTATGTGCATCGTTACTTTGTTTATTCAACCGAATACGTGTTAATTTGTAATACTCCGTATTACACCGATAATGATAACGCTTTATGTTCATAATTTTAAGGGGAATTAATTATTTACATATTAACACTAACGACGTTTTACATCGACTTTCATTCAAATGATGCAAATGAGAATGAAGATGAATCAAACAATTTGTTAACACAAAACCCAATTCTACATATTGTTTGAAAATTTTATTTGAAATTTTAAGAAACAAAACTTGAGATTTTTAAGAATGAGAGTGAGGGAATTTTGGGGGAATTTTTCATTGACGAATCCAGTGATTTCATTGATCAATATTCTGGTGAACTTGTTGGCAATTCAGGCAACAATTTCCCTGAATTTTTTATTTAAGGGCCGGATGGAGTATCTCGGAAAGATAATTTACTCCATAATTGGGATTCCTAATTACTCCGCCAATTAATTGTTTTTTCCGATAATTGTTAGCTAGCGTTCTAGTCGTTGACAGCCGCTAGAACGCTAGCTAACAATTATTGAAAAAAAAAAACGATTAATTGCCAGAGTAATTAGGAATTCCAATTTTGGAGTAAATTATCTTTTCCAGATAATCCAACCGGTCCTTAAGGAAAATTCTATTGAATTTGAAATTGAATTTTCAGAATGGGCTCGAGAATTGAAGGTTTTATTCAATCAATTATCGCTCATCATGAAAAACTTGATTTTTTAATTGAATGAAATTTTTACAGAATTCTTTATTGACGAATCAATCGATTTCTTGAATATTCAAGGACTCACTGAAGCCTGTGGAAATATTGAAAATTTAATCAGTAATTTCTCAGACTTCTCAATCTATCGAAAATTCAATTCTATTTGAAATTGTGAAATCAATTTCACGATGAGTCGTCACATTAAAGTTTTCATTGAAAAATCAATTAACGTTCATCATGAAGACGGAATTTTAAAAATTTTCAAGGTGACTGAGTTGGCGGACATTTTCGATTGCCATGAACATTCTGTAGAATTCATTGACGAATCAATAAATTCCCTGAATGTTAAGGCTCGGGTGGATTATTTATAAAAAAGAATTTACTCCGAAATTTGGATTCCTAATTACTTCGGCAATTAATCGTTTCTTTCGATAATTGTTAGCTAGCGTTCTAGCGGTTGTCAACAACTAGACCGCTATCTAACAATTATCGGAAAAAATGATTAATTGACGGATTAATTAGAAGTCCCAATTTTGGAGTAAATTATCTTTTCCAGACAGTTCACCCGGGCCTTAAGGACCGGTTGGGTTATCTGGAAAAGATAATTTACTCCAAAATTGGGATTCCTAATTACTCTGGCAATTAATCGTTTTTTTCAATAATTGTTAGCTAGCGTTCCAGCGGTTGTCAACAACTAGACCGCTATCTAACAATTATCGGAAAAAAACGATTAATTGGCGGAGTAATTAGAAGTCCCAATTTTGGAGTAAATTATCTTTTCCAGACAGTCCACCTGGGCCTTAAGGACCGGTTGGATTATCTGGAAAAGATAATTTACTCCAAAATTGGGATTCCTAATTACTCTGGCAATTAATCGTTTTTTTCAATAATTGTTAGCTAGCGTTCTAGCGGTTGTCAACAACTAGACCGCTAGCTAACAATTATCGGAAAAAACAATTAATTGGCGGAGTAATTAGAAGTCCCAATTTTAGAGTAAATTATCTTTTCCAGACAGTCCATCCGGGCCTTAAATAATTCTCAATCTTTCCCGAAAACATTGAAAATTCCAACAATAATTTCTCTAGATTATCAATCCATCAAAAATTCAAGCTTTCATTACCAAAATCAATTATCAAAACCAATCTCGAATTTTTCCGATGACTGATAACCTCAGCGATCATTTTCAACCGAAATACCAATCTTCCATAACTGAAAATGTAAAAGACATTGTAATTAAAATTTCAAGAAACTTTCAACAGTCCACTGTCCCAAAAAATCGAAGAATGAGAGACAATGATTCAAATTGCTAAAATCGAAATTTCATGAATTAGTGCTTTCAATGTGTGTCATGACTAAATGAGTAAAAATTGCGACAATTCTATTCAGTTTTTCATGTACGAGGAAGCACTTGTGTCCTCTGCGATATAGTACGTGTCTTAATAGGGGATCGAGGATCAGATAAGTCCATGATTGAAAAAGAAAAAAAAATATATAATAGAAAAAAAAAAATTAAAAAACAATACATATGTATAGAACACGCTTTTGAGGAGGCATTTGCTTAGTCACTGGAGATCTGTGAAGAAATGAGAATGTGCAACGTCAAAAAAAAAAAAAAAAACTTCTGCAAGCCTATAGTGATGATATATCGTCCTTACGATCATACATACGAACAAAATAATGAAAGAAAAAAAATTAAAAAATGTTTAAGATTAAATTAATTGTACCGAATAATAAAATACTATAGTGATATAGTAAACACAGTCGTATATAGTTGAAATAGGTACTTAGGAGTGAAAAAAAAAATGGTTGTTTCGATGATTTATCTTTTTGAAGAAAACTGGGTTCCACTACCACGACTTTTTCTTATATAAAACGTAAAATGAAATAAGTGATTTGTGAAGATAACGCGCATTGCAGTGGGTCAAAATTTTCACTGAATCCTGAGTAATACGCCTGATGAGTACCAGTGGCACTTTACATTTATCTACTTCAAGGAAAACATTTATTTACTGTATATTTATTTAATCGCTATTTATTGAATCGAAGAATTTGTATTTATTAGATGCATTAACTGTACACGCCTGTGTGTGCCGCCGTTTAACAATTTTATTGATAAATAAAGAACATCGTAATATCTATTAATTATTTTAAGGTAATAAATTATATGAATTTTAGTGAGAGAAAGAGAAAAAATTGACGGACGGAGGATATTAAAATTAAAAGAGCGTTCGGGGGTGGTAACGTATTTAAATATTATTATTAGTGTTATTTCTTGAAATCGATAAAGAGGATGAAAAATTTACATGAAAATACGGGGAAGGCTAAATACAAGATGAATACCATTTAAAATATTGAGAATATTGTTCATCATTATAGATGCACCGTTCTCTTATGAATGGGCGTCTAATGTTGTTGGAATATTTAAAAACTTGAAGAGTATGTGGAAAAAAGTATGAGAACGTGCGAGAGTACAAAAAAATAACAATTTGAGAAAATGAGAGACAGTGAAAATGAATTCGAATGTTCATGTCATTCGAATTTGAAGTGACGCTTCAGTTTTTAATTGAAGATACCAAAATATTGCGAACAGATGCGGTCGCAAAATTAATAAGAGTTCAGTGAAATCACGCTCATGTGTATGGATTTAAATAATTATTGTTTTTGGGACCGGAGGACTAAACAAATCGTAAAATAAACATCGGTAGTTCATTCTCTATTAAGAATCCCAAGGTGACATTGATTACGTCTCGATATTGATATGAAGTTACTTAAATTAATCGTAATTTTTAATTACGATCGTTGGCGAAATTTGTGCAAATAAAGGAAAGAAAATTGAAAAAAAA